AAACTGACGAAATGGGCCAGGTACACATATCTCATCAAAAACAAAGAAGCCAACAGACAGAAATAATTGAGGTTAAAAGTTATCAAGGTCAGCTTGTTGAGTGAATGCAACTGTTGGGTCTTCAACTGGCCAGATAAGTGTGTTCTGTGAACCCACCCATTGTGTTTGTGAAACCTAGGGCTTGGTTTTGCAAATTTTCCCACACAAAATTTGAACTTAATGCTATTAAAAACACAAAGGAATTAGGAACCACAACCAAACTTCAGCAAACCTCAGCCCTGCCTTCTTTTATTCATTTATTTATTTTAAAGGTGGTTGTTAGGCTTCTGTTTTGCCATTCATTCAATGCTCAGGGCAGCATACAAAGTGCTCTCCCACCCACCATTGCTCCCTACAGCCACCACCCTGTGAGATAGCTTGGGTTGAAAAAGAGTGTCTGGCCTAAGTTGGCTTTCATGGCTGGGGAGAATAGAGCCTGGCCTGCCTTGAGCCATTCCTCTGCCATCGGGGGACCTTGGCCACGTCCAGACTCCGTGGCCTCGTCCTTCTCTGTGACCCAGAGCTCACCTACCTCTTAGGATAGCACCAAGTCGAAAACCCTTCTGGAGGGGAGCCTCCAAGGAGCTGTGTTGGATCTGGCAGGTAAGCTGCGACCTCATGTCTTCTTGCCTGAGGAGCACTTCCACCATGCTCTCCACTCGGTACGAGGTACTCTGCTTTTCACCAGAATTCAGAATCTTGGTCTGGGCACCCTGAATTCTTTTCCCATTCTTTGACCAGGTGACTGTGATATTTTGGGAGGAGAATCCCTCCGCGGAACAATTGAAAGAGGCCTGAGACCCCACCCTGATTCTTCCTGGGGGGCCATGAAGCAAAGGCTGGGATGGACTGGCTGAGAGAGAAAAGAGGGAGACATCAAATGACGTTCCCTCCTACCAAGAGTCAGGAACCCCAAAACCCATGGAGAATTATTCTTATACAACAAATCTCCCAGAAGCAGGAGGACCTGATTATTTTTTCCCAATTTTTTAATCTGAAATAATTTTGAGAGCTAAACTTTAAACACATAGGCTGAGGCCCAGTCTTTTCCAACTGGCTGTCCTCTAAAAGTCACAACCCACAGAGAAAGGCCAGTGATGAGAGTTGTACAGTAGATCAAAATAGCAAAAGGAAGCCACATCAGAGAAGGTTGATTTTGCCTTTTAAGGTACTAGATGTCACTACTGCACCCTGGAGGAGGAAAGAGATTTTGAGTGGGAACCCATTGGAAGATCGCATCCCCTTTTTCTTCTCTGCCATTCTTCTTGTGACTTTGTGGCATTGATCTGGGTTACTTTAGGTTACAGCCATCAAGCTTCCTCAACTGGAGCTGCATGGGACATGTGATTCACTCCCAAATGTTTCACAAGAGAAGAAAACAACGCACTACCCTTCCTTAATATCATCAGCAGAGGAAATGACAGCAAATTAGAAATGCAGCTCTATCGAGAAACAACCCACACTAACCAAGTGCTCCATTACCAAAGTAACAATCCAACCTCCCACAAGAGGAGCTGTGTAAGAACATGATTCAGACAAGCACAAACACACTGCAGAAACCCAGAACAGCAAAAAAAGGAGAAACAGACTGCCTATACAACATCTTCTGACAAAATGGATACCAATGCAACTTTATGAAAAAGTACCTGCCCACTAAACCTACTACAACACAACCCACACAAGCTATGAAAAGGATCACACTGCCATACATCAGAAACATCTCAGAAACCAC